GGCTGGCTGGACAGCCACCCCCGGCCAGGCCCTCCCTCCTCATCGCTGCTCGCTCATCCACAGACAAGCACCGTGGCCCGGCCTGCCCTGCCCTCCAAAACCCGAGCGAGTTCCTCGGGGGAGGCTACAGTGCTGTTGAGGATGAGGTCAGGAGAGCAGGAAGGGGTTGGGGAGCTTCTCCAGGCGACCACACTGGGCTGGTCAGAAGTCGTCTTCTAGGCAGATGTTTTGTTGACTGAGAAATGTGTGGGGATGGACAGTCAAGTATCCGCGGGCCTGAGACCCCTGGGGGCACGTGCTCAGGCACAGCCCAGACCGGGGGCCCGCGGGGCTCCAGTTCAGCGTCCAGTCTCCATCCACTGTGCCCTCCTCCTCGGACTCAGCACTGGGGTCTGTCTGCTTGCTGTGTGCAGACGTCTAGGTGTTTCACGTCTGCTTCTGACTTTCTACATGACCTCACTAGCGTGGGAGCTAAATGCAGTCTGTGTTACATTAGAAACAAAAATTCTAGATTTAAGCTTTTCATTTTATTTCTACATAGGACAGTTTTTCTTTCTAATATGATCTGATAAAACGAATGATGAAACTTACTTGCTCTCACACTGATGTTTCTGTACCGCAGCGAACACCCTGCTGTCGTCAGCACCACGTTTTCCTGTATGATGACACCGCCACAGAAGTCTTTCCCTTCGGAATTTGCTAGTTTCACCTTTAAAAACCAAAACAGACAATAAAGAGCTAGTGACACTCTGCAGGGCGAGGGCAGCACAGTGTAGTGGGCTCTGAAACAGCCCCCCGGTCAGGGCATGCGGCTCCGGGGCCCAGCTCCAGCCAGGCGCTGTGGGGAGAAGCCGCCCCTTCAGGGATGCTTATGTTCTGAGAGAAATGGGGATTCTGAACTCAGAGACAGGCCTGGATGGCTGTAAGTAAATCTGTAGGTTTTCACTTGGTGCAAATAATGACGAGACTGGAGACGTGAATTCAGCATGAGAAAGTGCTCTGCAGAGTGATGTTGAGATTAGTAAACAGTCCACCTAAATCACGACACCCCTTTGACTCTGGTGTTACATTTCTATGTGGCAAAGAAGATGGAAAAGACAAAACGTGTTTCTGAAGTGTCTGTTACCTGCCACGGGAACACCTGAAGCTCCTGCTTGCTTCTCTGCGGCGTGAGGGTCCCGCATGCACAGCTCTCTGCATTGTGACGGCCACACGGAAAGAGAGGTCAGTGCCTCCTGGGGAGATGCCAGCCTCGTCTGGTTGCTGACCCCTCCAGCCTGTTCCTTAAAGCCGATCAGCTGAGATAACTCCGTGTGGACGCAGAGCAGGGGAGGCCCAGGTGGCCTCAACGGGAGACTAGACCCCTGGCCCGCATGGAGGACATGCGTCTAGGACGTGCCCGCAGAGGACGTGGCGCGCAGGGAGCTCACCGTGTGGGAGGCAGGATTTGTGGTCTGGGCCCAGCGTGTGCCCCTCCGCACAGCTGCACGTGTAGGACTCTGGTCCCGGGTGGCAGAAGTGCTGACACCCGTCGGTCCTCGAGGGGTGACACCCATTTTTAGCTGAAAAGGAAAAAAATGGGACCCCAGAACCGTCAACCTGGAAGTAGTCTTTCTTAAACTGCCTTGTGCCCAGGGTGGGGGGTGCCTGGTTTTTCACTCTGAAAGTCCTCCTTCTTGTCAGACTGTGGTCTGCTGCTGCGAGTGTTCCCACCCCCCACCCTGGATCCAAGACCAGCTGGAGAGAAGGCAAGGCAGTGACAGCCTGTCCCTGTCCCCAAGAGCAGCTTGGGCCCGGAGTCTGCACGCCCCGTGTGCTCGCTCTGGCTACAGGAGCTGCTCGCTTTAAGTGGCCTCTTCCCGGCGGGGTACTGTGACCCGCTGCGGGTCCAGCAGGTGGGATGGGGGAGGGGCAGGCGTGGGGTGAAGCTGGAGACCCTCCTTTGGTGTGTGCTGGGCTTGGGGTGCCTACACAGCATTGGGGGGGCCCTAGCAGGCAGCTGGAGTGAAAAACGGCTTCAGAGGAGAAACCCAGGCCAGAAACGGTGTCTGTCCCGGAAAGTTGGCTCTGCGTTGACCAGAGGTATCGGAGGACTGAGTTTACGTCTGCACCTAGTACCTACTGACGGAACTGGCTTTGCCCACCCCCGTGAGTAAACGTTCACAATGTTTAAGAAACGTCAGTCGACCAGGCTGCAGGGAGGGTCTCCACCCACAACCGCGGGAGCTGCGTGCAGTCCCTGCCCCCTGGGGACCCATCCCCCTGCTCAGGGTCAGCCAGGCCCCAGGAGCACCCGCGAGTAGAGGGCAGATGGTCAGGGTGGGGGTGGGACTGGGAGGAAGAGGAGGTGACCCCACAGGGGGTGGGTTGGGGATTAGGGTTAGCGTCTGGGAGCAGTAGGGCCTTTTCCAGAATGTGATTCCCAGTGGAGAACCAGGTTCCCACCTGTGGGCGCTCTCCTGGATGGGGCGGGGGCGGGATGGGAGGGAGGGTGAGGTAGGGGTGGAGTGGGGGTAAGGTGGGGAGGGGATGGGGCAGGCGGGGGCGGGCTCACAGAAGGCGCAGTCACGGCCCTCGTAGCCCGGGGCGCAGGTGCAGGTGTAGCTGCGGATGCTGTCCTGGCAGGACCCATTGTTGAGGCAGGGCTGGGAGATGCACGGGGAGCCACCTGCCGAGAGAGGCGTGAGGACCTCGGGCAGGTACTCCGGCCCCGCTGCCCAGGACACCAGGAGGCTGGAGGGGGCTGCTGCCCGCAGGGGTCCTTGCTGAGCGCCCACATGACCGCAGCTCCTCCTGATGCTGCCCTCGGTCACTGTGGTCCAGCTGCACTCCCTGCAGGGTCACCCGGCATCCCCCATGCCTTGGCTGGACCGTCACTTCCCTCAGCTTCACTAGGTTCTGACCCTTCAGCCCGAGGCCAGAGGGAGCTTCACCTTGACGCCCACAGGACCCCGGGGCCTTCCCCACCTCGTTGTCCCTGGGCAGTGCCAGGCTCTTCCTTTGGGCTGAGGGTCCAGGAGCCCAAGGCTTAACATCTGGAATCCACCGACCTAAAGCTAGCAGGTGTCCTGAGCCAAGGCCTTCCCTGATCTTAATGGAGAAAACAGGACATAATCCTGGAGTCGGCGGAGGAAGCGCTTACCCATGTACGTCTTCCAGAACTCGGCCTGCGGAGTGAAAACATGCAGGTGTTACAAGTGGGCGTGTGTCTCCCTGTGTTTTCCCCCGTGGGTGGGCTTGGAGATCGGAGAAGGCGGGTGCAGCAAAGAACACCGCTCTTTACATCTGCTCATGTCCTCTTTCATAGACATCCCGTGTCCTACTCAGTGTGTGTTTACTGTCACCCCCTTGAGGAAGGAAAAGTCTATGACACGGCGCAAACACCGCGACCTCCCGGGGCCCTTCTGACGCCCACCGCCCCCAGGCCGTCTCCATGTCCCCGTTCTGCAGAGCACATGATGCAGATGTAAACAGTTCACAGGACTTTTTCTTTTTTTATAAGCCAACTCCACGATGATTAAATATTTAAAGGTGGGGGGTTAGTCTGGGGTGCGGGTATCTAATTAGGAGAATCAGGCTTAAAGCCTAGCAAGGAAGCAGACACGTAACTGCCCCCGCCCCCCGCTCGACGTCGCAAGTCCCGGGCCGGGAGCCCTGGTTTCCCTCCGCAGGAGGCCTGATGCTCAGCTCCGCTAAGGACAGTCTGTTTCAGAGGAGTCCTCTTACCCACGAGCACCTAAGAAACCATGACTTTACAGTATTTTTGAGACATGCTAGAGAAATGGGCCAACACTTTGTCCAGAATCAACTTTAAATATCGCTACTTTGACAGGTGGAACTGGTAAGTCTTTACTCAGTATCTCCCTGCTCCGAGATTCTCACACACACGCAGTCCCTCTGTCTCCCGACAAGCCTGCGTCACGGAGAACAGCAAATTCTCCCTAGTGTGGCTTAGCGTGCACACGGAGCCACTTCTAATCCAACTGACAGACTATGGGTGACGTCCTTACCAGGCTGGCCCCCTGGGCCGGGTTGAAACAACTATGTTCGACTGCAAGTACCAAATCCTGTCCGTCTTACCCAGCTGAGGCCTCTGCGCTGGGTCAGTCTGATCAACGCGCTAACTGGCTCAATCTGAAGACGGCGCCCCGCGCCCCCGCTTCCTGGCTGGGGCAGGTTGTTTCCCCTTGTCTGTCTCGGTTCCCTCGTCTGTAAGATTAGGGCCACGTCAACCTCACAGCTAAGTAACTAGGTTAGTTTAGTCTCTGAGAAAGTAATGTTCCCTAAGGCAGCAGCAGTTGAGTAAGGGGAAAGCGAGTTCACGGTGGGTACATACAGTGGGGGCATCGTTTTCAAACACTTCTCTGGCTTCTTCATAGACACAGATTTCTTCATAACACTCTTTTTCTAAATTTCCCTGGAAGAGCTCTTCCAGAAGGTAGGAGCCAGCCCGCTTCCATCTCACCAGAACTTCACTTGCTTTTGAGGCGGGAAGAAACACTGCAGCAAGACAGGAGTGCGGGCGCCTCAGTGTGGGTGGGAGCCCCAGAACCGGGAGCCCCGCTTCCCACAGGTCAGGGTCTGCGCTGCGGTGCCGAGCGGACCCCACGCCCACCGCTCATACTGGGGAGGAGCTCTGCTTCCTGCTCCAGAAGACGTGGGCCCCAGGCTCCTCGCACGCGGCCGCCTGCGGGGGGAAGTCGGGGCAGGACCCCCACTCACGTCCTGCGGGGGGCTTGGGGACACAGCCCTGCTGGGCAGGTGCTTCCCAGCAGTCTGCACTGGGGTGGGGTGGGGGTCTGGGATGGATGTGTGAGGGTCACTTTGGTCTCTGCCACAAAGCAACCTCGCTCAAGTGGAGGGTGGCCAGTTTGGCTACAATCTTGGGTGCAGGGGAGGGAGCAGTGAGCCCACACCAGACGGGCTCAGCCCTCCCCGAGGTGTCTACCACATACCACACGCTCCTCACGCAGGGGCGGGGCCGGCGCGGGACATCTGCAGAAACCAGACAGGCCAGGCCCTGTTTCAGCAAACCACGTCACACACAAGGCACTGAGCTATGATCAGGGCCGCGGACAGGTGAGGAGTCAGGGCACTGCACACCAGGAGGACCAGGTAGGAGCGGGAGGGCTGCAGGGTGCAGAGGGCGTCCCCGCGGAAGGGGAGCTGAGTAGGAGTTCGCTTAGCACAGGATGGGTGGGAGGCGGGGCTGGAGGGGCTGTCCCCTGGGCAGCCCTCTGCCAGGACAAACCCCGCTCTCTAGCCAGGCACTCTGCTGCCCGGGACAGGCTGCCCCAGTCTGGGCTGAGTGCCAGCCACCAAGGCGCAAACAGACGGCCAGGCTGCAGCTCCTGGGAGTCTTCTTGGAAAAGACCACTGGGGTGGCCCTTGGCTGATTCCTTTGCCCTTCCCTCCACCTTGCTGCCTGGGGCACAGAAGTGACAGCTGGAGCTCTGAGTCCCAGTCTGGAATATAAGGATGAGGGCCACATGGGGAGGACTGCACGGTGAGCCTCGTTACAAGGGCTTCGGTCACGGTCACTGGATTTGGGGCCCACCCTGTCTCTTAACTAAAGACCCTATTTCCAAAGGCCGGATCCTGAGGCTCTGGGCGGACATCAAGTCTGGGGCACTACAGGTGGTGTCCCCAGACTTCTCAACTGTGAGGACGATACTTTGCGACTGTGAGTGTCTGTTCTCCAATGGTCTAACTCAACGTGGTTTGTCCTGAAGCAGCGATTAAATTTTAATTGCAAAACAGTGCCTTACAACTCTCATTCCTTCTGCATTTGCTGACTGGCCTTCTCCTGGAAAGGAGGACTGTCTCTTGTCCAAATGCTTTGTGTTGGTTAGTTTATTTAACAGATTTAAAAGTTCAAATCAATGTTTTCCATCTTGGAAAGTTCTGTTTGGTTGTTCCTCACGTCTGAGCCTTTTCACGTCTCTTGTCTTTAGCACGGTTCCTGAAACACGCCGAACCCTTGGGCTCTGTATCTGGGCGTCAAGGTTTCCGTGAGTCTGATTCTATTCTTTCTACTGCAGGTTCATGGTTGTCTTGTTCCCCGTGTGTTTGGGGTTTTTTCTTTTACCATGAATGGCCCGTGGGCTTCTCTGCAGAGGACCCGCATCTCCCCGGAGATGTCAAGGCAGACGTGACGCTAGGCTGTGGGTTTCCAGACCCCTGGGCCAACTGTGGTGACTGATTCTCCGGAGAGGCTTTTCTTTCTCCCTCCAGTGCCAGCATCCGGTTGGGGAGTCCGTCTCATTCCTCTGCACGGTCTGGGCTGGCTGGGGTCCCCTGGATGCCCCACCTCCCCGGGCCGGGGCAGGCTCTGTGCCTGGGACTGCGAGGTCCTGGGTTCCGGGGGGACCAGGTGGAGGGCTGAGGGCTCCGCTTCCCCGCCTTCGTTCTTTGCTGCTGTTGGCCACTCCCCCTGTGCCGGGCAGGTGCACATATTGAAGACAGGATAAAACATCTAGTCTGTTTCCAGTTCCATTGGCAGGTTTCCTGGGTGTCTGGACCACACCCCCGCCAGTCCCCACATTGTTAAGCTGCTGCGGCCGGCCGTTCGCGGTGCAGTTGTGAGCTCTGTGCTGCCAGCAGGGCCCTCTTACGCCACATTTGGAGCTTTGGATTTTATTCCAAAGGTTTGCCAGAAGAGGGATCTGACCCCTCCTGTCTGCTGTGCAGAGATGGATGGGCAGGGGAGGTGGGCCAGCTGGAGGCTTGGCTGTTGGGGGCAGCGCTGTCCGAGAGAAGTGGACACAGGCCCCGGGGTCATGAATGTCCCAGTACATTTGGAACGTGCAAAGAAAGAGGTTATGCTAACTTTTCTAACACGTAACTCGATAGACCTAAAACACTAGCATTTCAACCCACAACTGTTGTTGAAGACTAATCGTCTGACTTTGCATTTGATTTCCGTGCTCAACCTTCACCATCTGGTGTGTTCTCGTCCCGGGGTCAGAGCAGGGGCGCAGTGGCTGTGTGTGCAGCAGGGCTGGGGGGCTTGGGGGCAGCGCAGGTCTGGTACTCCCCATCCACTGACCCCTGGGGAGCTGCAGACAGAGCTGGGGGGGTTTGGGTAGGTCCGAAGGAGGAGGGGGTGAGGGGGTGGAGGAGAACCTCCACTCACAGCGCCCGGTGTCCGGATAAACATGAAACCAAGACACTTGAAAGCTGCGCAGGGCCTACCGCTCCCTCTAAGGAGACACCCGGGCAGCCGACTCGCTGAAGTGGTCGTGGGTGCCCCCTGCTCCCCCGGGAGCCCAGCAGCTGTCACCACAGCCCCAGACAGCCCTTGGTCCTGTAGCTCTGCCGGGGGGGGGAGGCTGGGAGGGGCTGGGCTGCGCTCCCGGCCCCCCAGAAGCCATGTCCTGTGCTGTCCTGAGCCCCTTACCCAGGGCAGGTTCCATCTGGGCGTGGCTATGGGGGCCCCCCCGAGGGCCCCGGTCACTTCCAAGGTACTTGCCCCGGATGGCAGACGCCATGAATGTCAGTCACGCCGGGGCCCCTTGGCTCCTGGAGGAAGCCCCCACACCCCACCCTGTGCTGAGTCAGAAAGGAGGCCCACAGCGGGCGCCTACCTGTGGGCTGGGCGCGATGTGGGGCCAGGAGCGCAAGCAGCAGGAGCAGCAGCAGGACCGGGGTGCGCGTGGCCATCCCGACCTGGCGGTGGTGCAGAGGCCAGAGTCCACCTGCCGACACGGCACCGGGCCAGCCCGGGGGCAGGGAAACCCACCCCCTCCCCCCACTCGGAGATGCTCCCCGTGAGGACACTGAATTTCCTAGATGTTTTTTGGGACAAACTCCAAGTTCTGTCTCTGTTTTCAGTCCTGTACTTTTCTGTTTAAGGAAAGAGGGAAGAAAAGGCAGAGATGAAAAGCCAGAGCAGACCGGGCTGCGGGGCTGGAAGGTGTCTCTGCCAGAGGGAATGCGGGGGAGCTCAGCCGGGGGAACAGGGTGCTGGATGCAGAGAGGCCATCTGCCAGCGCCCCAGGCCCAAGGCTGGGAAGCAAAGCTCAGGTGGGCCCCCGGCGGGCGGCAACTCTGGGCCAGGTGTGGGGGGCAGGGGTCCGCCCTGCGCAGCCAAGCTCCACGTGGGGGATCGGGGTGGGGGGCCTGGAGGGCCTCTGGGAAAAACCACGCTCAGTGCCCCAAAGGGAGACATTGGCCGAACTCTGTCTGAGGGGCCAGCAAACTCACCCCACCCTTGAGAAGCTCCCGGTCCCGCTCACCAGGCAGGTCAGCTCGGGACCACCGGTGATGCTCTGTCCTCCGTCTCTCCTCCCTCCTCCCACGCCTCATAACTCCCAGG